TTTTTTTTGAAATACATTTGAAGCGACAGATTAGTAAGAGAGTGGCAAGAGGTCTAGACATCCTGACAGTGTGACAGCTTGCTGTGACCACGAAGACAACACTAAACCAAAACAGCAAGCGGGTCTCTGAGAGCAGCTGTGTATGGCCATCCAGAGCAGGCCCCAGGGAGTGTGCCCTGTCCTGAGATGAAGAGGAGGAGGATGGTGGTGGTTTGTACCTGTGTGGTCAAATGATTCATGGCAAGATGGCAGCATTGCCAGTACAAACCATCAGCTACAAGTAGCCGTGCAAGGCGGCACGCCTTGATGCCTGCGTCTCACTCAGAATCCTAGCATGGTAGGACTGACTTTCTGCTCACGTGTGATTTCTTTGGGGGTGGTTAGGATTTACTTTTGCTCACTGAATCACAAGATCTGTGTACTAGAATGCCAGTATATTAATCTCCAATGCAATAATTATCTTGTCGGGTGGACCTCTTATTCACATTTCTTGGAAGCAGCAGGTATTTCTATTGGGTGGGAAAATTAGGTGTGAAGCCAAGTTCTCAAATTTGTTTGGTGAAGATAGAGTCACAATAAGGAAATTCATTTTTCTATTTTGAGTGTTAAAGACTTTTCCCCTAAAAGCGTGTTCATCAAATTCTTGTCCGTGAATTCACGCTGCAGGAGATGGGGGTATGTACTTGTGTATGTGCTGGGTGAGCCCCTCCTCTGGGCGAGTCCCAGGGCGCGTTGACAGGTGAATGAGTCTGAGGAGACTTTCATTAAAACAACTGGTTTAATGTAGCTTTACTCAGTGTGTCCCAAATAGAAGTGACACCCCGCCGCCCCACCCAATACACAACATAATACCCCCAGAATACATGCTATTACCATGGGACTTTGTAGTTAGATCCTGCTAGCCGGGACAAGATGAACTTGTTAGCAGATGCCTATGTCTCTGTTCTGACTTCTGAAGTATTCAGTTCAACTTGCCGAGGGAAATTGTTTCTGAGTTCTGAGGTTGAGGGAAGGATAAAATAATGGCTATTTAAACAATGTTACAAGTTTCCTGACAATCGTGATACAGGGTCTGCAGGAAATGTTTCTAGTACCCTATTGAGCAACTTTGGATTCTGTTAAAATGTGTTGAGAAGGATTTCTTGCAAAAAAGTTTACAATGGTAGTTTCACTTAAAAAAAAAACTTGTAATAAAGTAATAATAAAGTAAAAATCAAAATCAACCAGCAACTATAAACCAGACATACTACGGGGTAATGGCGGGAGGGGAGAAGAGAGTAGGATCAAAACAAGGGGGGTGGAATTGTATGGGGACTATAACCAAGATGAAATGCATACATTGTGCAAAAATGACAAATGATGTAAAAATACATAAAATTAAATAAAAAAATTAAAACTTCCTATTTTCTACTCCAAAAGAAAAAAAAAAAAACTTGTTACTGAAACAATCAAAATCTGTCTATTTTGTAAACTTTAAAAATACTTGAACCTAACGCAGTTGTTACTATGTTAGCTCTCCACTTACGTTTTTTTTTTTTTAAATTGCAGCTCACTAATTTAGACGATAAATTGTCATGATAGGATCTGCTACATCACTACCTGGGGTTGAAGTCAGCCTTAGATCTCATTCTCTCTGGGAGTACTCTGCTTTCCCTACCCAGTTACGAGAGGCCTTCTAAGGTGAAACAGTCTTTTAATGAACTTGGGTTTTCAAACTGGTAGACTAGTGTTTTTTAAAAGACAGCAGCACAGAATTGCACAGGCATGGGTATCTGCTACAGGCTTCCATGTGCGTTTTCCTGAGAAAGACAGGAGGATCGCACCTGTCACTCATGCAGTGACATAAATCCCAGCCCGACCTCTACTACTTACTAGAGGGACGACTCTGGATTTGTTGTTCATTCATTCACTCAGTATATGTTTATTTGTCCAGTAGATGGTAGGTACTTTTCTGGGCACTAAACATAGAAAAATGAACTGAAATAATTCAATTAGCTGTTACAAGTTTCTTACCTAACAAGGATGTGTGACTAGTATAGCCGTAAAGCCCTTGGCACATAGTATGTTCACCTCTTGAGTGGATAGAGTGGTCAGATGTTTTCTCACATGAAATTTATTTCTAGCAAAATAGAAGGACTTTATGCTTGTTTCTTATTATATCAGAAAATCTTGTTTCTTGCTAAACCCCAACTTTCTCTCAAAAATATATATTTTTTAAAAACTAGTAAGATCTTTATTTAGCATCACATTTATTTTACAAAGGGTAGATGCTTATTTTAGTGATGATTTGTCATTAAAATTATGTCAAAATGTCTTAAAATGTTGTTGAAACTGTAAACAAACTCATAACACACACAGAGCTAATTATGGACGCCATCTGTTTATTTTTACAAAGCTTTTTTTTTTTTTTAAGACCATGGCATTGTCTGCTTATGATAAGCTTCAAGATTATTAAAATGACTAAGTCCTGTCCTTCAATTAGTGTAGTTGGAGATGGAAAGACAATTCGCTTGTTCACTGACCTTTTCCCATGTCAGAGTGTATGAGACATGACATGTCCTGATAAAGAAACTATTGTGAGGTGCATTTAGAAGATGCTTAAATTTTAGGGAAAAAAAAATTGGTATCAGAGCCACAGATGTGGTCAACATTTTATTTAAATTTTAGAGACTTATTCAAGGTCTTCAATGAAAGACAGACCCTCTGCTCTTTATTAGTGCCCCTCGGGTTTATTTTTGCCCCGCCAAGTTTAGGAACTTGTGAGTCATCCATTTTGTTTATAACGTGTCTCCCTGTATGTGGGTGCATGTTTGCACCCATGTGTATCCCATGTGCTCATGTGGAGGCCAGGGATCCCCATGACAGCATCCTTTGGAGTAGTTATCAGCAATTTGCTGAGAGAGCAGAGTGATTTCACCGGCTCTTGGTGCGATTGTGCATGCTAAGCACTCCCCACGTCGGTCTGCACGGCAAACAACCTGCCGGATCCATCTGCTCCTTTCTGCTACACTGCCTTGATGTAAGCGTACGCTAATCTGCTTGCTTGTCAGGACAGGTTAGTGAAAGCATGCAAGTGGGTGAGGCGAGGCTAGCCTAGTGCTTTGGAAGATCATATGCTGCCTCTGAGGATGCCAAGCTAAGTGTAGCAGAATAGGCTGATTATGAGCCACGCCAAGGATTGCAGCTGAAGATGTAATTTTCAGTTAGGAATTTGTTTTAAAATGAGAATTATTCGACGTTGCTGTGCCACATGGAATTAAAAAATCTGGGGAAAGCAATAAGCTAGTTTACAAATGTGTTCTAGGTGTTTTCCTGATCACACTTTATAGTGTATTGTGTTGCTGCTTTAATTTTATTTTCTCAGTTTCTTAGTCACAGAAGATTACATGTTAAATGTAATTAACCTCATTTACGCTGAAGTCGTTAAAACTCTTCTTGCATCTTTCTACCCATGTATCTCCTTCTACACCTACTGACGGGCAGATCTTGGCGTTGCAGGTTGAGCATCCTGTCACCGAATGCATTACTGGTCTGGACCTAGTCCAAGAAATGATCCGTGTTGCCAAGGGTTACCCTCTCAGGCACAAACAAGCTGATATTCCCATCAACGGCTGGGCAGTTGAATGTCGGGTCTATGCTGAGGTAAAATGGATATGTCGGGAGGAAGGCTGGGGGTTGGGCACCGAGTCATGGGACCAGGTGTAGCAAAGCCACAAGGTCAAGTTAGGCTTTTGGGACTGGTTTCATGTTCTCAGTGATATAATCCAGAATGGAACCAGAAAAAAAAAAAGGTTATTTGGACATAAAACGATTTTAAAGGATTGAGTTTAATTAATTTTCATGTATAGTTTCTGAAAGGAGAAATAACTACCAATCCATTTAAGAGGCAACAAAGCATTAGTAAAATATTCTTGTGCTTAAATGGATTGTGGTTTTTGTTCTATTTGTGTTTGCTTGTTTTCAAACCACATTAAAATAAACAGGAACATTCATTTCTGTGGCTTTTAGAAAATTATTTCCAGTATTTTTTTCTAATAATTTACCCCTTATTTTTACATGACAGTAACACATTTAAATCGAAAACTTTCAATAGAACTTTTGACTCAGTTTTAACTATGGATTTTTGTGGATTTTCAACTTTTAGTTGAATACTCTTATTTCAGTACTTTTATATTATCTTACAACTATATAAATTTGATAAATAAGCAGTCAATTTCTGGAATAAAATTTACCCAGATCTCTGTTTAAGAATACTGGACATTTCGTTGAAGTGCTTCTTAAGAATATTGAGAAATGTGTTTGTCTTAGCTGCTCTTGCTTTTATTATATTTTAAGTGGTATTCTTTTTTTTTTATTGTGATACTGGGCTTATTTAATATTTATTCTGATCATCTAAGGTATTTGCCAGTGGAGTACATTCCTAGTAACGTGCAAAGTTTCTTCTAAGGTTTTTATTTGAAAAACCAAAATTCTACAATTTTACCATATGTGAGCTGTTTTGAGAGTAAGAAAAACAAATATCTTTAGTGCACTACATGTGTTGTTCTGAACTTGAATATGTTTTGATGTAGGGCCTAGGTTATTTTTTTTTGCCCAAGGCATTCAAAGGAGATTTATAAAAAGTTGGCATTTTACCAATTTCAATAAAGTACAATCAAGGTCAGGCTAAATTCTGCTTGCAGTTCTGTTAGATTTTAAATACACGGCTAAGTGGTCTAGAGTGAGGAGTAGACAATAATGTTGTGAAATCTGTCATTTGGTAAATACTGTAGGATGAAAATACATCTATAAATGTTCCTTCATTGTACAAAAACTGGACCTTACTCATGCTGATTCACATTTCAAAGACTGTGCTTCCTTCCCTTTGAACTTTCAGGACCCCTACAAGTCCTTCGGTTTACCGTCCATTGGGAGATTGTCTCAGTACCAAGAACCAGTACATCTACCTGGTGTAAGTCATTAAGCTGTAATATCAAGTGAGGAGTTAAACTTTTGATTTATGTCATGCTCTTATGTTAAAGCATAGACCCCCAAAGGGCCTACATTGAAGTGAAATTTACAGGGAATCATAGCCTTTAAGAAAAAAATATTTTGTACTTTGTGATGTGCAGGAAAGCCAGAAACCATTTGGCGGGGGAAGTCCGGCGACATCTGATTTGGAAATGATTGTTTGGTGTTTCTAATTCTTTCGAAAATTATAATGAAAAAAGGCCGTGGAGGCCTGAGAATGACTATTCTGTGTTGCAATTTAATCTTTTCAATAAATTTAATCCAGCTTCTCTGTCGAGTTGGATGTCAGGAAACTCAAGCCCAAAATTAGCTCGTTAATTGAATGGATTAAGGAAGACAAATTGTGTCTCATTCTAAAAGTGTCGGGGATTTTAAGAAGAATATATTCTTTGCACCGGTTAGAGAGAAGTGATCACTGCCCACTTTGTTCTCTATTTCCTGGCCGTTCTTTAAATAGTTCTTGTTGCAGCAAAAGAACAAGGACATAGCCTTTCTCTTAATCAAGGTAATAGTGCACATATACATGACATGACGTTAGCTAGTGGATGACAAGGCTGTACCATCTGTGAATATGATTATTCAGTTTGAGCACTGGCAGAAAGATTACAGGAAGAATTCTAAATTTGAAGATGTTATGGGATATATGATTTATTTCACTTTTTAAATTGTTTTTGCCCATGTGCTTTCTGAAGGGACTTGACCCTTTCTAGGCTTGGAGACTCCATGCTGTGTTCAAAGCCTGGAGGCAGAAAAAAAATTGTAAAGATTTAACAGGCATTATGTGACGTTAAATAGCAGATGAGGAGACAAGTGTCATAGGGACATATCTAAACATTTTTTTAATCAAACAAAAAAGTATTAAATAAGAATTCATAATGATTACTCTAGTTGTTGGAAGTTTTCACCATGTTGTAATAGCTAACAGGATGTCAAACATTTTGCCCTCGCAAGTTTTTGCAATTTGCAATTTTCAAACGTGAGACCTGTTGAAAGTACAAGTGATAATGGACAAACTGTACCCCCTACAGTCTTTGTCCCACCAAATCTTTCTTCAATTAATGCTGCAGCAGGAGTTTTATGTAATAACATTTGCGGTTGTGAGCCATCCATAGAAAGAAAAAACAATTAAAATGCCTTAAATGTTCTGCTTACTGCTGTTATTTGCTTGTGTGAATGTTGCATGTCAGCTAAATGGACCGAGGAACAGATAAAGTGATTGGGTGCGGGAGAGCGCACACTAAGCTTTGTCTATCATTATTGCTGGGAGCGATCAAATTGATGTCAGCAGGACAGTAGATGCGTTGACAGCTGTAATTATGTATCTCCATGGTGATCACTTTTGGCCTGTCATGGAGGCCCACGAGTCCCCTCCCTTGGAAGCATTTAATCAGATTGGGCTGTCACTTGTCAGGTAGACATGGCGGACTGGGAGTTGTGCAGAGGGGGAGAGGTGATGGAGGATGAAGGGTGGGTGTTTCACAGGATCCACTGTTGGTTCGGGAGAAAGACGTCTGAATTCTGCCAGAGGTTTCTGAGCAATGTTTTGAGACTCAGGCACAGGTGCTGGGGCGATGATGTTTGTTCTTCCTCCATGTCTTCTTAAACTACATCCGTTATAGCTCAGGAAACTCTCCTTTTACTCTTAACCCTTTTTTGGGCCACAGGAATACACAGGGGCTGTGCTGGCGCATGCTTCTTTAAGCTTAACATGTATTTATGTGGCAAAGATAGAGACTGTCTTTTTCTCTATGATTGCTATATTCAGTATATTTGTTATCTTTAGACTGCAGATTTTACTCTGCTCAAAAATTGATTGCAGTTCTGTTTGACTTTATTCTTAAAGCTTTTAGTGCCAGAGTTAAGCTATACACTTTTTTTTTTTTTTTTTATAAACATAACCTTTGCTTCTCTGGTGGAATGGAGTCCTTAGAAAGCAAAAGCTGATGATTTGGAAAAGCTACATAAACAGAAAAGTATAAGCAAGAGTTTTCATGTTTTGTTATGGTTTTAAATCAGAATATTGACTTGCTTATACAAATATATGTGTGGTTCTATAGAATACGTTTTGATTTTACCCTGTTTTTTTTTTTTTTTTTTTTTTCAATTAAAGTGACATACCTTTTGTGATCATGATGTTAGTGGATAACAAAGACATAGTTATATCTGGGAGTCCACAGTCAGCTAATTTTTAGGATGGTGTTATTCATGGTCATTAAAAATTTCAGCTAGGGACAATAGAAGAATGTAATAGATATTGTCTGTGTTATTTTGCTGAATATCAAAGTTCTACCCCAACTTTGTGGCAGTTTATGTAGCAAATAGTAGGGTATGTCTAAAGTCAAAAGTTTTAGATCTTGGACCAACCTGAGTTTTTTAACACAGCGTTAGCAAGCTTGCTATGCTTTTAAATAACATGTGGCGGTGAAATTAGCTCTTGAACTTTTTGCTACTAAAATTAAGAAAATGCAAGTTTAGAGATATCTTTTCTGTTATGTCACTTGATTGCCAGTTGCCCCTTTGGGGTTATTAAAATGTAGGGAGAACTTAGGTTATGATTTCATTGCTTCCACAGCTGCCCCACTAATTCTTTCCCAGTTTTTCGAAACCTCGTGAATTTCATAGACTGTTGGTTTATGACCTGAACTAGGTTTTCAGAAAATAGAAAACCAAGTACACTTTAAGCGCGCTGAGCCTCTTCAATTTAAAATTAAGATTTTCAGAGATGAATGTGAATGCAAATACAAATGACCATATTTTGGTTGGCGTTTGCAAATACGGAAATGAAAGCGCTGAGATTAGCTTCTCAGAGCTTGTAAGAGGAATAATAGTTGTGTGACTTTTTTTTTTAAGAGAATGAAACTATGCTTTATCTTTTCATGTCACCATATAATAAAGCCATCATCCTTCTCTCGTGTGGCTATCCAAGACAAGAGGTTCTACATGTGGTCCCTTGATAATTGCCTAAATTAAAATATTAAAGGCCTAACAGCCGCTGTGTTGACCTTTTCCTGCCTTGCTGCAGACAGATGAGCTGCTGTTTATTAGGGAGCCTCCTTCCACAGGTGAAGAGCTGTGAGGGTCCCCTTCCCACTCCCTCACCATGTTTGGCATCCAAGTCCTGCTGTCGAGCAGCTCTGATGAAATTCCTCTCTCAAGACCCCAGGATCTGCTCGCTTTTAAATACTTCAGATTCCTAAACTTCGGCACAATAATTTAATAAATATTTCATTCTCAGCAACTGCTCATTTGAAACGTTTTACATGGCTAACCTCTGTGCCTTGCTGTTGGGCTCAAACTGGGAGATGAAAACAAGAATCAGCGATGTACTAACTAACTTGTCGTCTGGTTAACAGCAATCAGGCTCTTCAAAAGAATATTTTGAACTTGTGCTATTTTTCCTCCCCCATGAAAATCGCAAAATCAGAACTCTAATTGGGGCTGTGTCCTTACATGGCAAAGCCATGAGAAAAGCTGTGTAAACATTACAGTCTCCAGGGACTCACAGCCAGAGAAAAAAGGCGTTTTGCAGTAGAGAGGGTGAGGCAAGAAAGGAAAGTGTTACAGACATGAAAGCCAGGAGCCCTGAGTTCCTGTTGAGCTGATGAGCGGAGATCCGAGCTCCGCTGCCTGCTTTGCCAGGGTCCTCACTGAAACTCTCAGAGGGGACTCTGGGGAGTGCAGGGAGCAGGGGCCTCTCCATGCTGTGCCTCCCTTGCACAGCGCCCGTGGAGTAACTAACTGCACACGCATCCTGGCTTGGGATACAGTGGCTGTTGTGGTTTTTGTTGACGCTGGCCATTTGTTCCTTAGTTCATGTAGTAGGAAGACAAACTATGTGTGTTCTGCATAATAACAGATCAGGCTAACGTGATGTCTCTGTAGTCATAGGTTGTCTTCTATTTTCTAGAAACTGAAATGTTGTTTGAGATTGAGATGATCCCTTTGCTCCGTGGAACTTAAACTTGTCATTAGAAAAATGTCTGCGTAATATAGTAACTTTCTTTTTTCTTTTTTTCTTTTTCTTTCTCCCAGGTCCGGGTTGACAGCGGCATCCAGCCAGGAAGTGATATTAGCATTTATTATGATCCAATGATTTCAAAAGTTAGTTAAATTTCTTTTTGGTTTCTTTCAATTTTCTTCTGTCAAGGCAATGGACACATTTAATGAAAGAGTCTGACATTGGTCTTTTTCTGAATCACGTGCTATAATTAAATCAGTAATCATGCACTATGGGAAATGAAAACAGAACAGGTTTTCTTTTAAGAGAGAAATTTCATTTTTTTTTTAAAGATTTATTTTTATTTATTTATGCATACAAGAACTGGGGTATAGGCCAGAGATGCAGGGATGAGAGGATTCACCAGAGACAGAGTGGGGAGCCAACAGGTGGATCTATTGAAATACACTGCTGAGGGGAGCAGCAGGCTAGACAGGAGAGGTCTGCTGCGCCATGTGGGTCACCTCCCTGGCTGGGGATCGAACTCATGCCTCAGTGGCTGGCGATAGCTTGGTAGTGCTGAGTGAGGCTTTAACCCCTGTACCACCTGGAAGCCCCTAAGAGAAAATTTGCAATGTCATTTGGTCTGCAGCACTTCCTCCACCCCAGTTGTGTGTATCCATCGCCCCTGACCCCACAGTGGCAACTCGGGCAGCCCCGGGGCTCCAACCCAGCACTTGCAGTGGGAATAAATTGGTTTTCGGCCATTCTTATTATGGCCTGAGATGAAAATATGAATGGCAGGTGACTTGGGGGGACAGGCTGTGTTTGTTAGAGTATTTTCTTCAATTTTCTGAATCACTAATCACAAAAATTGACATAATTAAATTTCATGTAACAATATAAGATGGCTTTTTGCCCACCTGTCTTTTTGACATTTGACTTTTCAGAGTCAATGAACAACTCTACTCACAGATCTTTAAACATCTTTAGAATCATAGAGGTTATAAAATATAAGCTTCTGACTATAGTAGTTAAAACTGGATTTTATTTAGAAGATTCTGTCTCTTTGACGTGTGGGACCTGTCTTGAAGCTTGACTTCTTAAAAAACCCCATTTGTCAAGGTGGCTTTGTACCAACGCACTTTTTTTCTGCAGTTGCAGTGGACAGACCATTTAAAACTTTTTTTTTACTTAAGTGTTTACATTAATATCATTAAAATGAAGTTTTTTCTTTTAACTAAAGAAATGCTATTTAATTAAAAAATAAATACATAAATTAGGACAGATTAATGGATGTGGCTCCATTTTTAGAGGAATAAATTTATTTTTGGAAAGGTCACCTGCAAGTTAATTTTCAACTTGGCTTAGTAATGAAGGGCTCATAAAGTATAATAAAATAATTGCAGACTGAGGACTCACTAATAACCAGAAAAATCGTTGATGAATAGTTGGGGTTCCTATTACCTATCTGTAGAAGATATTTACACTCGGCACACATTCGTATAGAACTGCGAGACCTTTCTGTTTTTCCAAAATAAGAAACCGTTTCTTTTTGTGTAATGTAATGTGTAAAAGTTAGCTGTCAGGAGGTCAGATGTGACAACCACACACAAACCGGGTGAGAGAAGCATCTGGCCCAGTCCTTCCCCGGCCAGTGGTGGGGCATTTTGCCATCCTCCATTTCCACATGAGTTATGATTGTTTTTGTTACATTTTTATTATCTCAAAAAGCTCTTTTCTGTGATACCTGATGTCAGAGAAGAGCCTGAAATAACTTGATTCCATTTTGTATTTACTTAATAGTAGTGTTAATTGATATACTTTGTATTAAAAATCAAAGTACTGAAATTTCAAAAAGTCTGGGAAATCTGTTATAAAACACTGTAATTTTTACTAGGATAAATTGCTTGACTTCTAGATAGCTAGACTGTTCATACCTCTGCAAATCCTTTTGTGTTTGTCTGCCTTTAGCTAGTCACCTACGGTTCTGACAGAACGGAAGCACTGAAGAGAATGGAAGATGCCCTGGATAATTACGTTATTCGAGGTAAATAAAGACAAACATTCGAGGTCCTGTGATTACACATGCCGCCCAGTTCTAGAAAACAGTTGAAGATTTACTAAGTAAAGAATTCCATGAAACATTTGCTTACTCTGTGATTAAATAGAAATCAGAAAAGCTAGAATTAACTGACATGCTAATAATGAAGAATCGATAGGTAAGTTATTTTCTTTAGCAATCATATACTTTACATCTTAGACTATCAAGTGAGATGATAACTTACGTCTTTCCAAGGTGAGCATTTATTTTTTTTTTGGTGTGTATTGCATGTAAATGATTCTTTATTCTAAAGTATTTTTTTGGTCAGTGCAGTTTGACAGCAGATTTGCTGTTACTGTTTTCTGTTGTTTTGACATATGAAATATGAGAATGTATGGAGATATGAAACATACTGAGCTACATTTCATGAACTTAAGGGTGGAAAGAATAGCTCTTTGCTGCTATGAATTTGAGTAAATTATAGACTACTTCCTAGCAAATGCAGTGTTCCCTCAGTTCATCCAGGGCAGCCCTGTGTCTGTGTAATCCCACAAGCCGTTGGAGTGTGTAGTAATAACCCAGTCAGGACCCTAGGCTCCATCTAAGTAATGAAAGTAAAGTTACACTTACTCCCTTTAAGGAATAAATTACACTCCAAATTTTATTTTTTTATAATAAATTTTATTTTTATATTCCCCATACAATTGCAACCCCCCATTCTGACCCCAATCCCTCCTCCCGCCCCACATCCTTACCTCCCCAAAAAGTGTCTCTGGTTCATAGTTTTTGTTGATTTTGATTTTCACTTTCTTCTAGTTATTCATTTTCCTGGTCCCTTATTTAAGTTTTCTAGATTCCTGCTATGAGTGAGACCATCCGGTATTTTTCTTTTTCTTTCTGGCTTATTTCTCTGAGCATGATCCCTTCCAGCGCCATCCATGTTGCTGCAAATGGCATGTGTTTATCTTTTTGAATGCTGAGTAATATTCCATGGTGTATATGGACCACATCTTCTTGATCCAGTCATCTATTTTTGGGCATTTGGGTTGTTTCCAAAGCTTAGCTATTGTAAACAGTGCTGCTATAAACATAGGTGTGCAGGTGCTCTTTGGAATTGATGTTTCTGTGTCCTTTGGGTAAATACCTAGGAGTGGAATTGCTGGATCCTATGGAAGCTCTATGTTTAGTAGGTCAAGAAATCTCCACACAGCTCTCCATAGTGGTTGGACCAGTTTGCACTCCCACCAACAGTGCAGGAGAGTTCCTTTTTCTCCACAACCTCGCCAACATTTGTTGTTGCTAGTTTTTTTAATATGTGCCATTCTCACTGGTGTAAGATGGTATCTCATGGTAGTTTTGATTTGCATTTCCCTGATACAAGTGATGTTGAACATTTTTTCATATGCCTGTTGGCCATTTGCATTTCCTCTTCAGAGAAGTTTCTTTTTAGCTCTTCTGCCCATTTTTTGACTGGGTTATTTTCTTTGTTGTTGTTGAGTCTCATCAGCTCTTTGCAGATTTTTGTGATCAGTCCTTTATCATTAGTGTTGGGTGCAAAAATGTTCTCCCAGTCGGTGGGGTTTCTCTTTGTTTTTGTTATTGTCTCTTTTGCTGTGCAGAAGCTCTTTAATTTGATGTAGTCCCAGCTGTTTATCTTTGCCTTCACTATCACTGCTTTGGGTGATGTATCTGTAAAGATGTCTTTGATGTGCAAATCACGTAGTGTTTCGCCTATATTTCCTTCTATATATTTTATGGTTTCAGGTCTTATGTCTAGTTCTTTAATCCATTTTGAGTTGATTTTTGTGTATGGTGTGAGGTAGTGGTCAAGCTTCATTCTTTTGCATGTAGCAACCCAGTTTTCCCAGCACCATTTATTGAACAAACTTTCTTTGCTCCAATGCATAGTCTTTGCTCCTTTGTCAAAGATTAGTTGACCATAAATCTGTGGGTTTATTTCTGGATTTTCTATTCAATTCCATTGGTCTGTATGTCTGTTCTTGTTCCACTACCATGCAGTTTTGATGATTATGGCTTTGTAGTATAGTTCGAAGTCTGGGATACACTCCAAATTTTATTAGCAACTTTCCATTTGTAATGAAAAGATCATTTTACTCTAGCCCAATGTAGTCATCAACCTCAGAATGATTGACTTCAATATCAAATTAAAAGGTGGTAAAATAGCCACCCATTTCAAGTTAGCAAGGCATAGTGTGGGTCTAGGAACATTCTAGAAGGAAGATTGCCAGTGTGCTTTTGCTCTTTTCTCATGTACAGCAGCATTGTGGGGAGGTAAGGATGTGGACGGAAGGACTGGTGTTATGGTGAGGTATGAGCACAGGCTAGCCCTCCTCCGACTTCTATACAATTTCAAAAGGTCTGCAGTCAAGTGGACAAAGGCTGCGGGTCATGAGGCTTGGCATGTGGACTGCAACTTATGTGCGAATTAGGAACAGTGCTGTGTTCTCTGCACCTGTCTGGCCCTGAGACGGGGATACCGATTAGCAGGGAGGTCCTTACTCTTCCCTCTTGACCAACTGCCTTTGTGCGGTGAGCTGACCAGACAGCTGGACAGCTGAACCCAGCATGACTCAGTGACTCGGTTTTTATACATTGACGTTTCTCTGCTCATTTCCAGCTGTGGATGAATCAGTGTCGAGTCCTCGCTTTCCCTCAGGTTTTCTCATCCAGGTTTTCTCTTGTTAGGTCAGGGGAGATTTCTTCCTGCCTTTTGGTTTTACTCTCACCCTCTTTTCTTCCCATTTCTTTTTTCTCTTTTTCTTTTTTTTTTTTAAAGATTTATTTATTTATGCATACAAGAGCTGTGGTACAGGCCAGAGATGTGGGGGGTGAGAGGATCCACCAGAGACAGAGTGGGGAGCAGAACAGGTGGATCTACTGAAATACACTGCTGAGGGGAGCAGCGGGCAAGACAGGAGAGGTCTGCTGTGCCATGTGGGTTGCTCCCTGGCCGGCCGGGGATCGAACTCATGCTGCAGAGGCTGCGGATTGCTTCATAGTGCGGTGCTTAATCCCTTGCGCCACCAGGGAGGCCCTCTTCCCATTTCTTAACTAGCAAGTGGCAGTGATCATGTCTGATCTCGAGGGCTAGTGATTTACCTCTGTAACTGAAAAGGAAGACAGTAAGCTGCAAGCGGGCCTTCATTATAAAAATCAGTAACATTGGGCTCCCCGGTGGCGCAGTGGTTGAGCGCTGGGTTGCGAAGCTGCCCCGGCCTCTGCGGCGCCAGTTCGATCCCCAGCTGCTCCGGCCACGGAGGAGGATCCACATGGTGCGCAGACCTCTCTGCCACCCGCTGCTCCCCTCAGCAGTGTACTTCAGTCTTTCTGCCTGCTCTGTCCCCACCTCTCTGGTGAATTCTCTCACCCTCCCGCGCTTCTGACTGTACCCAGTGCATGTATAAACAAAACAAACAAACAAATAAATAATAAATAAAAGCATGCCTCTATAAAAAAAAAAAAATCAGTAACATTGATATCCAGAGTGACCACAAATTGGAAAAATTTCCTTCACAATTTTTTTCTCGTTGACTCTCCTGTTCCAGTTTAGTCTTAATTATGGAGTATTTACTGATTTTTAAAAAACTCTACTGTGTTCCATAAGTACCAGATACCCATTTTCTCTATACATTGGCTAAGTAGGTCTCGAGGGGTCTGTTTTCCTACAGAACTAATCTCACCTGTTACTTAGTGCGTGTCTGGGCACACACCTAACGCAGGTGTGTTTGTCTCTGCATGATTAACTCCACAGACAGATGTAAATGAGGTGCTTCGGGAATTTCTGGGGCCTCCAAAGGACTTCTAAGAATTTTCTGTAGCTTTTTCTCCTCCTGCCCTTCTCCCTCCCCATGTTTGTATTTTTTATTGTGGTTATTGAATCATTAGATTTTGATTGACTAGATTTCACTTTCATGAACCTGAATGGCAAACTCTTGAATTTGAGAGAGTCAATCTGAGGAAGAATATTTTGTCGAATCTCATCTCTATTAAATTATGGTAGAGCAGGGCCTCCCTGGTGGCATAGTGGTGGAGCACTGGGCTGTGAGGCTGCCCACGGCCTCTGCAGCACCGGTTCAATCCCCTGCCGCCGGTGGCACGCAGACCTCTCCTGCCGCCTGCTCCTCCTCTCAGCAGTGTACTTCATCAATCTGCCTGTTCTGCTCCCTGCTCTGACTCTGGTGAATTCTCTCACCCTCCCGTGCTTCTGAGTGTACCCAGTGCTTGTATAAATGAATAAATAAATCTTTAAAAAAATTATGGTAGAGTGGAGGGCTGTGACATGGGGGCTTTGTCAAAGTAATGGGTTGGTATTGGCCTCGACTAAAAGTCATTCTTCCACTGAGTCTGGCTTGGAAGGGAATGCTCTTTCATACCTGAGAACACACTTTCATGTTTTGTATTGAAACGAACTATGTGTCCTCCACTTACTCCATCTTCTGTAGAGGTTGAACACTTCGTATCTTTTTTAGTTAAGTGACTGAAACACCTGATCGACTTGCCATTATTCTCCTAACTTTGTGTGTATCATGTGTACACAAAATGTATTTTCTTGTGCAGCTAGAATTTGTAAACTTAGTCTAAAATTACAGCCTTTAATCACTGTGGTATAATAGAAATTAGCCAGACAAGCCTCACGCTTTGTCCTGACACCATTTAGTGACTGTTTTTGTCAGACTGCTTTGTCATATTCCACATTTGAAGAATGGAGTGCTGGTCTCAGAGGTGCCTCAGAGGTGCCGGTGAGGAGTGAATGTGGCCCGCTGGACAGAGGGGCCAGCGCCGGACCGGCTCGTGGATTCCCGTGGCTTTAGTTCCCATCTCCTTTTCTTCTTTCATTACAATTATAAAGCCACCTCATATGTCAAAATCACCATCAGTCAGCGGTGTGTGAAAAATTAGTGAACCATATGCATAAATGTTGAAAGCCCATATTAAATCATTCTCGGTTCCATGTGCTGCGTTATATGCTTTCCTGGACCCTTCTC